AGAGAATACAAACCCCGAAGCGGTGGCCACTGATCTTCTGGCTTCACGAGATTCTAATGCTGCACCAGTCAGCATAGAGGTAACGCTACATCTCCGGGCAGAATTAGAAAACATTAACCTAGCCGCCAACCTCTAAACCCTCTCCATCCTGGCAGCGAGGTACGCCTGGTGGTGGCTCCACACAATACTGACATATTCGAGTGCCGGTTTGACAATTGACTTATATGCAGTAAGCTTGGTCTCCGGGCTCAAGTTCCTCAATTTTCTTCTCAGAAATTCCAGTTTGCGGAAGGCATTACCACAAGCATTTGTTATGGGAGTGTCCTACCTGAGGTTGGTGTCTAATCATAGCCCCACGGTACTTAACGTCGTTGGACTTCCCAATGACATTATTGTTCATTCTGTAGGTGAAATCCAGACTCATTCTCTTGTTGCTAATAATAACGGTGGTGGTCTTTATGTAGTTTATTTCCCATTTCTCACACCAATGATATATATTCTCCAACGATAAGAATGTCCTGACTTACTGTCCCGGTTACCGTGGTATAAACAACGCGGTCGTTTGCAAAGAGCCTCACTTTCACGGATGAATCTACGCACAGTGCCATATCATTAATATAAACCAAGAAAAGTAGCGAACCCAGAACCGATCTCTGTGGCACCCCTCAGTACACGTCTAACATGCCAGAACTTTCGCCACTCAACGCAACAAAGTGCTTGCGCCGAGATAGGTAACTGGCTATCCACGAAACAAGTGTGTCACCTATGCCAATCGCGGGTCCATATCACAAGAGCGAATGACATTTTAGCGAACGGCGACATTTGAGCGAATGCTCGTTTTAGCGAATAACGGGGGCGCGCGTTAACCCATCCGTCGCGCTGCGCTTTACGCCGCTTCGCGGCGACAGTCTGCGGCAACTCATTACAAAAATGTGAACCCATTTGGCCCACCCGAAAACGCCGCTTCGCGGCGTCCGACTATTCGCTAAAGTGTCATTCGGTCAAACGTGGGCGTTCGCTAAAACGTCATTCGATCAAGTGAGTGCCTCCCGCCAATCGCTTGCAGCTTTTCTAGCAACTTCTGGCGAGGCACATGTTTGAAAGCCTCTATCTGTTGACTCGCGTTGATTGTTAGAGCAAAATCATGTGTAGTTTCTGCGAGTGGAGTCACTGTTGACAATCCTGCCCTAAACCTGTGTTGGTGTGGATAAAAGATACTGTTAGTTTCTAAATGCATCGTAATTGCCTTACTGATAATATGCTCGAGCATTTTGCAGGATGTGCTCACAGTAAAATGAGTCGTTGATTGCTTTTAATATGCTTATTTTCGGTCTTGTGGATGGGGTCAAGTTTTGCACAAAGCCAATCGTTTGGTAGCCTCGATGTTCGCAGTGGCTCAACAAAAATTACGTGTAGGTAGTATGGCACCCACTTAGCGTATCGCTTCAGAAATGTGTTGTTAACGCACTCCGGCCCTGACGACTTCTAGGCATTTAGACCTAAAACCTACGCCAAAATTCCTGCTTGTGTGATCTGAATCTTTGGCATTACAGGCACGCTCATTCTGGGCACTGCTGCATCAGGCACGGATGCTCTCGAAAAAACAAACTGGAAATAACAATTGAAACTGTAGCAAATGGTAGAGTCCGGTTTACATGACACCATGAATCTCGAACTGGACAACTTCGCCTTCCCGCTTCGATAAATAACGCCAAAATTTCCGAGAATCATGCATAAAAAAATGGGCAAAGTAATATGAATATAGTGTTCCCTGGCCGGTTTTATTTTTGGGCTTAATTCATAAGGTAAGTGGTGGACTTCCGGCGCATTTGGCTGTTTTGGCCGCTTCCTTTTCATCTTACGTTTTAGGTGTATGATCTGTTATGTAATTCATGGGTTCTGTCTATTAATTTTCTTTTTTCTATAGCTCAGCTTCACGATGAGTAACTATCTCTTTAAACGTACACCAGATTACATCAACATCGCCGAGGGTGAAAAGTCTTTTTATATGAATATTAGTTTTGTGCCTTTTAACCTTTTAGAATTCTTGAGTACAACCATTTTTTCGTTGAAATCAATGAAACGGAGTATTACTGGCCACGGACGGCTCTCAGAGCCTCTGACAATTCTGTGCAGTCGTTGGGTAATTTTGATATTTACTCGGGGCATGCCTCAGCAAACGTTGTTTGTTATTTTTGTTTTAATATATTTGCTCCTCCCCCTCCTCCTCCTCTCTCAGGCCATAAATTAGAAGGTTATTTCTACGAGCACTATTTTCTAGGTAATCAATTTTACTTTCAAGTTTTGCGACAAGGCTGAACGCCTTATCTATTTTTACTTCGGTCTCTGGAATTTTGTCTTTGCTTTTATTCAGGCTTTCAAAGTTTCTATAGAAGAGAGTTTCGTCCGCACATCTTTAATCGACTGCTCCATTGATGCTTGGTTTGTGTTTATGTCCTTTAGGGTGTTACCTACAGGCTGTTGGTTCTCAAGACTTTTCGCCAACATTGCTTCGGTCGGACCGAGGTTGAGCTCAATATCCTCACATAGGTGAAGTAGCAATGACGAAGCATCCAAACACTTGGAAAAGGTTATACACAGAGACCGCGGGCTGGGCAGTACTAACAAAACAACAGAGTTGTCTCTAACCGTACTATAGTATGCTTTGTCATCAGCATATACGAAGATCCAAACGTGTGCATGTGTGCGTGTGTGTACTTATGTGTGTGTGCGTGTGTGTGTGTTTAGTTGTTTTTAGGGGGTGGGGGAAAAGGGCATTATGACGGGTCTTCAGCGTTCTGTGTAGAAATCGAGCTCAACACTATTTTTGTTTTTTCCTGGGATGCATGATAAGCAAGTCTGAGTCGTTCCGAACACTACACTTGTGCAGGACGGCGTATTGCTGTCCTTGGCGGACGTGCAGCTGCAAGCATCAAACGGTGACACCACACTGCGTCTGTCCCACCTGACTCGAGAGGACTCGGGTTGCTACCTTTGTGCGAGGGACGGGGGCATCAACAGCAGCGTCTTGCTTCGGGTGTTGAGTGAGACGAATTCCTCCGATGGTGCTTGCCCTCTCCAGCGTCGCGGGTTGGAAAACAACATATTTTTTAGACCATGAGGTGATGTAGAAAACAAAAATAAAGAAAATATAAGATGTTAAAAGCGGAAAACAAATTTTCTATAAAAAAAAAGACGTTGAGAGCGCAGAGCAAACACTCTATAACAAAAAAAGATATTAAAAACGCAGAACAAACACTCTAAATAAAAAGTCTGTGAATCAACTTTTGTACAAATCACGGAGGCAGCCAATATGTCTCATAACTGTTCACGAAAAAAAAAAACATGTTTTATTTACTGAAAAATTAACTACACATCGCCGAGCGCTCATTCTCCGCCCAAAAATAGCGCCAGCGGTCCGAACCAGGTATGGCGAAGTTTCTGAACAAACCGTTATCTCGATCCTAAAGTTACAACAAAATTTTTTTTCTTCAAAAACTTAATGGCAAAATGGGGCTGGTTTTTGCCCGTTTTGGGTAACGGGCGCCATTCGGCCCTGATGTATTCTATATAGAAGTCCGCGGTGGCCGCCATTTTTCCATTGAAAATTTAAGAAAACCACTTATAGCTTACGAATAAGGTCACGGTTAGTTCTGAAACTTTGCCATCTGGTTCAAACAGCTGTAGCGCTACATTTGGGGGAAAAAAATGAGCGTTCGACAATGCGGAGCTCATTTTTTCGGTAAAAAAAAAAAGATGAAATAAGAAACTTGTAATTATTATTATTATTTTTCTTTTTTTAGTGGGGACATTTTGTTTGTGTGCTTCAAACATCAGTGTTTGGCATGACACTATCTCGGTAAAGTTGTTTCGAGTCGCGAATCGCTGCGTACCGTTACAGGTCCCATGGTTGCCCCCACCATCAGCGACGAAGCCGGCTCCTTGGTGGGGCCGAAGCTCGGACCACTGCTCGAGGGAGACCCACTCACGCTGCTTTGCTTGCCTCCACCGGGTGAGACATACGTACCGCGTGAAACTTTTGAACGATGTTATTCCAAGTTCTTCAGACCGCTGTCCGAATAAGACGCTAGTCATCGCCGTTGTCAATATCTTGCGTGGAACCGAACTTATTGAAAGGTGGTGAGGAGTTCTAGCACGTTGAGCTTACGCAAGAAGGTATAATGGTATCGGGATGTTCCGCTGGATACTTGGAGGCAAGCTTTGAAGCGCGGGCGCAGAGCGGTACCGGATCGTTGAAAGCGATTAGCTAAAGGTCTTTGTTGCGAGATAGAACGCCCGACAGGTTGTGTACGACGTATCGGAATGTACCAGACTTCCGGTGTAGAAATGACACACTGGGCCACTCGAAGGTCACAATTCCAGATAAATCAGTTTGCGACGCGTCGTTTCGTGGTGGTTGTATAGCTCATGGCCAACTTTCTGGGATATTCTGAAGAAATAAAATGTTTTCGAGAAAATATCGAAATTCTAGTTGATCTTTAATGTTCTATGAATCCCAGGCAATTACGATCCTCGGGAAAATTACGATCTTTTGTCAAGAAAAGCACAGCTTAATAATTATGTGAATGTGGCCCGTAGGATTCTATAATAAGGAAATTGTAGAGCCCTAAAAAGCAAAAAAACTACGCGTCCAAAAGTTTAATTACTGCTTATTGATATTTTATGACTGTCATCTAGAGTATTTCCAGGATACCTTGCGCTGTTTATTTTTATTATGTTTTAGTATTCAGTATTTAGTGTATGCGCCTAGGCGTATAGATGTCCAAAAAATTTGGGGATGGTAGAGTGTAGACGAAGAGCTTGCTTAATATCTTCCCTATCTATTCTTGCTCGATGATTGGCTCTTTGGTATTGTTATCGGCTGACGTCGCAATATGATTGGCCGAAAAGCAAGTATAAGAGATTCGCCACTCCCTGATTTTTTTAAAGTAACCAGTGACAACAGTTGTGAGCTTGCGCTGCGAATACTGGCCAACAACATGCGTGCCGTTACCAGTAACGATGTTACTGGTAACGCATTAGGTTTTCAGTAGTGCACTAATGTACTCGTTATAATCCTAAATGGCTACCGAGTAAACTATTTTCGTTACTTACAATTTTACGGCATTGTTTATCAAACAGCGTTACGTGCTATTCTTTACATTTGGTTAAAGTTAGTTACGTCATCCCTCCCTTTAAAGGTCCAACGCGCCTTCGGGACCTCTGTACTCTACATATGCGATAATCAAAAAATAAACACATAATGAAATCTTACGCTAATTGTGAGTCGTGTGTGTGTGTTAAATGTGCGCTCTTTTAATTACACCGCTCCGGAACGCGGGAATCGCTCCATAAACGTTTAATTGATGTCGAAGTTCGCAACCGCGGCTTATCACTACCAAACACTCAAATCAAAAGTAACGCAAAAGCAAAGTTCTTTTTTTTTTTTTTGGAAAGGAACGATACGGTATTGTGCTACGTTACGTTACGAGTAGCGCTATGTATTTCGTTACTTACATTATGTAACGGGCGCGTCAACATTGGTCTACACCCGGCATGCGCGTCGTTAACGGACGAGTATCGATGAGTTAAGCGCGAAACACATGTACGACGAAACCTTCCGATTCGACGTGCGGACTGCCGGAATGACGTTGGGGGGAGAGGGTTTTCGTAGCATCGGAGAGCGTTGACAACCCTCGCCTCCGACCGTCGTATTGCCTGGTCGGACGTCGGATCGGACGGTTTCGTCGTACATGTGTTTCGCGCTCCGATGCTACGAAAACCCTCTCCCCCCAAGGTCATTCCGGCAGTCCGCACGTCGGATCGGAAGGTTTTCGTCGTACATGTGTTTCGCGCCTTAGGCGGGAGTTTATTTTTGTACCGACGCGCGTCGACGCAGAGTTCTCCGGTGCTCTGCTGCGCTGGCGTCCGGACCCCCGTCGTCTGCACGGCACCTCGCTGTCTGACGGACGAGCTCTGCTGCACATCGCGGCACTGGGGCGCCGGCACCAGGGACTGGTGCTGCTGTGCACGGCCAACCACCCCGTGGCGGGGACTGCCTCTGCCTCCGTCACGCTCGACATGCTGCGTAAACAAACAAACAAAACACTTTTATATTTTTATTGAAACGGCGTGTTTTCATACAGGACCAGCTCCTCTCGCAAAGAGCCCCGCCCTTTCCACTTGAGCAGAGCGAACGCGAAACGTGCAACACCCCCTCCCGCGGCGGAAACGGGAAGCACTTTAGTGAGGGCCCCCCATTCTCCTGCTCAGCGGGCACGGCGGAACTGCGCGAGATCATGACTCGCGAAGTGTCATTTCCGAACGCAAACAACACTCTTTACTCTCCCAACGTACTGCTGCAGCCTCTATGGGATTGTACCTTATTAGAGAGTTTTAGTATTGCGTATGGAAGCAAACGCAAGCGCTATGCGTTTGCGTTAGAGTTGCGTGCCCCACGTTTTGCGTACGCCTCATCGCTATGCGCCAATCCAACACCGCAATTTTTGGGCTAGCGTATGCGCTAATGCAAACACACAGTGCTTGCGTTCGCTGGTATGCGCAATACTAAAACTCACAACTGTTTCATCGGCTTCCAACGCCAATGAAACGTGCTGCAGTGAACAGACGTGCAAGCAGGTAGGCGTTCCTTCCAACTGGAAAGGCTGAGATTGACGAAACGACGGAGCGTATAAAGATGAAAGTAACGAAATGTTATGAAAAAATTGGTAGTTAAAAAAAATACTTTTTAATTTTCATTTTTTAATTAAGGGGCATTTGGTCTGAAAGGATTTTGGCGGCGACTTTGTAAATCTTGCCGATTGTCAAAAGTCGCCACTTTCATAGCAAAATATGCTTTACCCAGTATTAATGTAATTTTACGTGGATTTCTGACATTAGTGAGAAGGTCTTAATTGATTTTAGACTAATTTTATTTTATAACTTGGCAATTAAAATGCTGCATTGGGCACCGTTGGCACACTTGATTGTCATATTTGTTCGTGCGTTTGAAATTAGATCGATAAGCAACAAAGTGTATTAGAGCTTGCAAAAATTGCTTATTAAAATATCAGAATTTTAATATTATTATTATTAATACAAATCACGTCAGTTTTGCACCAATTAACGCCACGATCACAAAAATACGCCATTTAACCATATTAATCTTTCCAGAAAGGTATAATTTTTTTGTTTTTCTTATTAGCATATGAAGAACTCTGACGTCGGTATCAAGATAGACAAACGGTCAAACATTGGATGCAATATAAAGTTGCTATAAAAACACACACATACTTCAGCTGTCTGACTCAGATTACGTCTTCGGGTTGTTGTAGTGAGAACAGCGTTTGTTAATTTATACGTTACGTGAACATATTGTAAAAATCGGATTTATTCTGTTATTCTTATGCTGAAAATTACGTTAAAGCAATTAACCATCTAAATACCCAAAACCGGTTAAAAGGCTCGCAGTTTATTATTTCACATGACAATTATCTGAGCGACAAAAGGCAGCGAGAATGCACAAATATCAGCACTGATTTTATATTAAAGGGACACTGAAATCTCCAAAAATTTTTGAAGTGCCTAAATCGAACATGTCTGTCACAAAATAAAGTTTGTGCGAACCACTTATTTAACTAAATAATTACGATGGAGACAGATTTTGAGCTATGAAAGAATTCGAAATTAAGACCTATATCGAGAAAATTAAATCAAAATACAAGTTACTTTCGGTTTCGCTCCAGAATTAAAACGTGCCTTCTGGAGTAAGTATTACGCGGGACACTGTTTTTGTTTTCAAGAATAAAAAGAGGTGACCTGCGCTCGTAACACACCAGCTTCCTCGTATTACCAGACATACTTTGTGTCGCTCAGTGAAGCCAGCACACTAGACAGGTTCAACAGCGGCAAGTATCTCCGACCCTCACTATAACCGCCATTTTGGAAAACGAGTGGCGCCACCTATAGTTAGTTGGGGTCGCGAATAATCTCATGATACTAGGTGATAGTTTAAAATGGAGAACACTATTGTACTGTAAATAACTTTTTTTTCTTCTCTTTTTACATTCGTTGGTAAACTATGGCGACGGCGACGGATTAAGCTAACGACCCGTGACTGGTGGACACCTCCTATATAACAAGGCCGGAGGGATGCATTTTCTATACGTCACCTAAAGAGGCAAGCGCGGGGCTCAGATCGCACTGGAGTGCTGCGTCGACGTTCGGCTGAGGCTTGTGTCATCACCGATGGAGACTTGTCTCAATCGAGCATTGATGCAAGGCAGCAAGACTCGTCTCCAATTCGTAACCCGTATTTGCTTCGCTCTCGAGAGGAGGCAAGGAGGAACTCGCCTCCTTTCTAAGTGGAAAGAGTAGAGGGATTCGCGGGAGGAGTCTGTCTTGCGCTCTTAACCTGCCACCGACGATAGGTGGAACGAGATGGAAAATGTACTTTAAGTAGTTCTATCTTGTTGTTTATTTCGGCGCACACTCAGTAGCTCCGGTGGGAGCGACGCTTGTCCGGCGAGGCCCCCTGGTGGCCGGGGTGTCGGCAGAACTGGAGTGCGTCACTTGGGGCTCCAGGCCGGAGGCCCTGGTCAACTGGACCCTGGGTGGAGTGTCCCTCCCCACGGCCTTCGTGCACTGGGATGGCAACGTGAGCACGGCCACCGTGTCTCTCTTACCGACGGCCGGCCACGACGGACTGCGACTTACCTGCTCAGCCGCCAACCCCAGGGCGCCCACCCTGCCCGCGGTGCAAGACTCCCGGGTGCTTGACGTCCGCTGTGAGTGAACGGCTGAACACTAGAATATCTATAAGACGTCTTATCGTATGTAAGACGTTTTCACAAGATGTCCCAAACCCCGGAAGACAGCTTCAGAAGATCTGTCAGGCATTTTGAAGACATTTTCATAATATCTCTCAGAACTCCTCAAAATATCTTGGTGGACATACTGACGTAACTGGAGAACAAGGAAACTGAATACTGCGCAAACCCACTGGACACGAATTCGCCCATGAGATGTCTTACATAGTCGTCTGTAAGACATGTTTGCAAGATGTGCAAGACCTTTTTGAAGACATCTTGCCAAGTCGTTACATGACCATCGCCTTGCAGTTTCTTGCTGTCATCTTGTAGCTCAGCTAATGTGCCATATAGCCTCTCGGCAATTTAGGTCTGAAGACGCCCTTCAATACAAACTTTTTACTAACGTCTTCGCAAGACCCCTACCGCCTCATGAAGACATCTTAGGAATACGTTACGTGGCCTTAGTCGCCTTGAATCATCTTGCAGTTGTCTTCTAGCACAGCTAATGTGCATTCATTTCAAGGCTATGCCTAGAGATATGTCTTGTAGACGTCTATAAGTCATATTTTAAGAAGTATTGCAGCCCAGAGGCGATGGTGAATTGCCTGAGTTATATAACAAACAACTAAACGTTTCCAGACGGGCTTTTCGGTTATTTATTGTTAAGATTAGGTCTACACACGATGTCTTGCACATTGCGCCAAGGCGTCCTTTCGACGTCTCATGGATATTTTTGTGTTTAGTATGGATGGGTCCTTGGCGGAGTGTGCGTCTGTTTTGCTACCTCTTTCAGATTGCGCAGCGTTCGGAAACAAGCTAATTGAGCAGTGACGCCGATGACGTCTAATAATTAGAAGGAATTATTTTAGGAGAACCATTCTAGGTGTAGAAGATTTACGAAATATTAAGTTTGATTCCACCTGGAAGCCAACTTAACTTGTGCCCTCTAGGTGACTGGTGGCCGCTGAAAAAATCGGCCTGGTCTCGAACCAGGAGGATTTTTTTTTCAGCGGCCACCATTCGCCTAGAAAGCGCCGATTGCGCTTCATTTCAGGTGGAGTTCAATTTACTCATTCAAATGACGTCTGCTCCTGTGGTCGCATCTGCCTGTTACTGCTCGTCATCGAAACTAGCGCGATCTAAGAGGCTGATGCAGCGCGAATAACCAAGATTATGACAGAATGCATCATGGGGAGAGTATACACCATTTCAAATATTTACAAGTCCTCAGCCCAGCGTGCGATATGCTCAGTCCAGCAAGCCCATTTTTATCGCTTCGGAAAGCGAGCCAATAACGCACTGTATACGCGCGAACACTGAAAATGGGGCCTACCAGGAGCCCTTTTTTCGAAAGGTTTATACTTGCACTCTAAAAAAAGTCTGTGCGTCTACATACACGCACAACACTGGGAGAGCCAATCACCGCAGCTTACGGAGGCAGCTCAGCGAATGACAATGCCGAAACATGTTTAGACCAAAAAACGCAGTCTGAGTTGTGACATTAAGCAATGCGAAACGTCACGCTTGCTTGCTTAATGTCACAACTCAGTCTGCGTTTTTTGGTCTAAACATATGTTTCGGCATCGTGATTCGCTGAGTTGCCTCCGTAAGTTGCGCTGATTGGGTCTTCGAGTGTTTTGCGGGAAAGCAAACTCACGGGATTTTCTTAGAGTGTGGGGACAAATCTTCTTGGCAACGAAGCCAAAGGTATGTGTAACCGTGCGCTCGCGCGCATTGAGTGCCGATCGCAGCTCTGCTGTTGTGGTTTACACTTCTTCTGAAATGCCAGGAAAAGTGGCCCCCGAGTTACAGAGGACTGGTGACGTCACAGCAAAAAGTAATGATGTATACTCCATTTCAGTTTAAGTGTGAGCCTGGCAAAAGGAAAGCGCGCTTGTGCAGCGCAAGCACTGTTCAGGGTCACATGCTCGCTCTTGGAGCTTCGGCCTTGCCTGCGCTTAAAGTGAAGCAGAGTATAGTCACAGCATTGTTACTTTTGACTGGAGCAGAACATGGACTTGGTCACCCAATACAAAGGGAATGGCCATGACCATTTTCTTGGTATCGGGAGACATCTGCATCTGCGAGACTTTAGATGAAGATAATTAGTAAATTCTAGTGAACGGAAGGCAATCGGTAACTGCATCAAACCTGCATCCGAAGTTCCCGTATCCGCATTCGTAAGTCCTGTTCTATACTATACCCCCAACAGACATGCATTTCGAAATTTTATATTGATGGGTCAAACAACACTTGTGGGGCACGTAGGCTATATAAATTAAACGCGCAAAATGCCATGCATACTGTTCCTTCTTTTCTCGCAACACTACACAAATATCAATGCCGAGATGAGTCAATTACTTTATATTTGCATATTGTAGGATTTATGAAACAATTGCAATGTAAAAGACAGCCGTTGTGGAAGGCTAAAACAATTTACACCAGTACAATGAAAGCGAACTTGGAATTATTCGTTTATAATTTTGGCTTTTCCCTCCCGCAGTTTCAAAACGGAATGCAAAAAAAAAATGAAGTTTTAGTAAAGTTTTGTGATAACAAGGGTAACGATACCCAATACTCTGCTGGCGCGTTTGCACATGCATCGTTTCGTTATCTGCTATCGCTGTCAGGCCCCCTAAATTGTCTAATAAAACTCCCTCATAGCGCCGAAGGTATATACATTTTTTTTTAATTATGTGAGAGGAAGGCGAGAACTTTTCAACCATGTCCCATTAATTCCCTTCATGTCCCATTAATTGCGTAAGTTTCCTTAGCCTTCCAAGACGGCTATCTTCAGATTTGCAATTGCAACATGGACCATAAAACCTGTAAATCAGTAGTTAATTATTTAATTTGAGATAATCAGTCATAATTTAATTGCATTCCTTCTTGAACACATTGTTCAAGAAAGAATGTTGAGCTGGCCGAATAAATCACCGGCGGAGACCGCATAGAAAAAGGAGCCTTGACAACTTTTTTTTAACAAAAACTGGACCTAGTAAAAAATGACATTCTATATCGCTCGTTTAAACACCTGAGAAGGACAAAATTCGCATAAAGTATTGAATGCTCAGAAACCGCATTTGTCTAGCAATGTGCCTCACCAAAATTCGCATTGACGTGCCAGTCGACTTGGGTTTCATGGTCCCCAGCTGTTGCCAAGCGTTTCCCAAAATCCTGCCTCGCCATTCGCCAGTGTTCGCTATGCCGCGAAGGAGAACCTGTCAAGCATTGTAAGAAACGATTAGGAGAGTATAGCTCAACAGTTTTTTTTTTAAATCTTGCCTAAGCATACTCACATGTTTTCCTCGGACTGTATTACATTTTCTTATACTTTGGAACAACCAGGTTTGCAGATGCGTCACAGAAAGGTCCAAGGAACCCACATGAAAGCACGAAAATACACTTGTTATGCATGTATGCAGGCGAATTTCTTTCGTACATTTGTGACAACCTAAACAATGCAAGGGAACGAGCAGTTTAAAAATTTTGCCTTTAGCCCCCCCTTCCCCCCCCCCCCCCCCCCCGCCCCATTTTTTTTTTCCAAAAAAAGAAACAACAAAAACACGAAAACAGGACAGAAAGGGAAAACACAGGAATCGAACCGTCGATTGCCCTGTCTCCTTAAAAGCCACGTTAGAACGGGTTTGTACGGTTTCTAACAGTGCATCATCGAAGCACGTCTCGTCGACATTGCGATGTTTCGTAGAAATATTCCTTGAACTGGACTCTCTTCTAACGTTTCGCCGTCAAATTGCTTTTTCACTAGGTGAACTATATTTGGCTTCACGTCGCTCGCTGAAAGTAAACGACAAGTACATTTCATACACTGTATAAAAAGACACCCAGGTGGCCGACACAGCAAAAGCAAATCCTAGAAAATCCCGAGGTAGGTAGGCGTATCAGGGCCACCTAAGCCCGCCGTTGGGAAATCCCGGGCAGCAGAACCTGCAGAAAGAGGGCCCTCCTTTTTGTACGCGCCGTCGGTCGCGTAAGCCCACAGCCATCGTACGCGGCAGTAATACGGGCCCTAAAGGCGTACCGCCGGAACAGTGACGCAAGGCAATCATCGTTCCAAGTTGATATGCAAGGGCACGTCGCGACAAAAGTTGTCGACGAAACGTCGCAAATACTGACAATAAAACGAACTGGGTCTCTTTTCACTCCAGGCCTACGAAACAATCTGGCGATGAAACGCCATTCCACGAGTCAATTATCACTGCGCTGCCGTCATAACGCTAACATTCAACCTGACACTTTCAGCGCCGATGCAAAAAGACGTTGGCAGTTTGTTTCACTTATTGTCAACTAAGTTGCCGACGTCACAACCTGGATCCCGGCTGTTGCAAACGTAAACACGGCGACGCAAACAGAGGTCGGGGACGCCCTTCTCTGACGGTGGACCGATTTATTCGTTCATTCTTTATTGATTTTGCAGGCCGTGGCCGGCAGGGCGGTACAGGAAAAAGGCATTATTGCCTGATGAGCTTCGATGAGTACCAACTTGTACGCGCGGCTTAACATTCGAGTGATTGAATTGATTAGGATAGCTAGCTCACAGAAAAAAAAAACACTCGCGGTTCTTGTGGCCCTACTAGTCTGAGCGTATCTTCCTAAGACGCGAAGGCAATGAATCGACGTCTTTGCGCTCCCGTTCGCTACGACGCCATGTTGATATGAATATAGATATGCGGCTAACCCCTTTGTGTCGGGGGATCCCAGCATACTGGATCTAGCCAATTTATTTCTTATCTTCTTCTTGGTTTCTCTTCCACCAGTAGGCCAGTCTTTTTTTTTTTTTTTTCACTCCACCATCGGCAGAGGCTGCGGGCCCTTGCCCATGGTGCTGTCGGCGCCGTCGTTGCCTCTATCGTTGACCTCCTCGTCGATTTTCCGAAAGCTTCCGCCGCACGGCACTTCCGGCTGCAGGCCCGCGCACTCCAGGATGAGGTGCTGTAGCGTTTCTTCGGCCCCTT